TAAATCCTGTACCATCATAGTCAACCACAGAAAAACCAAGTTTTGTAAATCCTCTACCATCATAGTCAACCACAGAAAAACCAAGTTTTGTAAGTCCTCTACCATCATAGTCAACCACAGAAAAACCAAGTTTTGTAAGTCCTCTACCATCATAGTCAACCACAAAAAAACCAAGTTTTGTAAATCCTGTACCATCATAGTCAACCACAGAAAAAACAAATTTTGTAAGTCCTCTACTATCATAGTCAACCACAGAAATTTCAAGTTTTGTAATGTGACGGTCAATCCCAGTATTCGTTGGTAAAAGAGTAGCCCAAGAGTTGGCGGTGGGTGGTGATGACTAGCTGCCTTCCCTCTAGTCTTACACTGCAAAATTAGGGATCGCTAGCACAGATAGCCCTCGTGTAGTTTTGCGCGAAATTAAAAAAACAAACCCCTCCCATTAAAAAATGAGTACTCCTTTCTTTATTGATATTGATTCCTTGAGCGATTAAAACCTTTTAAGTCTGGTTGATAAAATTTCTACCTTGGAACCACTAAATCGTGACAGATGTAAGTTACTTTGATCAAAAGTAAAGAGCTAATTATTCTGCAGGCGTCCCCACCCCCAGCTGGTACCACGATTTAAGTTCATGAAAAAAAAACACACACACACACACACACTGTAATAGCCTTCGACACCTATAGAAAAACAACTGCACTATTAAGTACATCCAGTAATAGAACATAAAAACATAAATATTATAGACTTATTGAAACTAGTACTGTTAAAATGTTTTTATATTATATAGTATTTAGATATCAATTCAAGTTCAAATTATTTACAGTTTGTTGTCCAATAAAATATGTGTTTCGAAAGAAATACTAAGCACACTTACAGAGCACTCGTAGCGTTACACTATGGTGAACACTTCGCTGAAGCTTGAGGTTGGTAGCTTGACAAGTAAATTCAGATCTGTCGTCAGCGGAAGTGACGTTAAAGCGCAACCGACTTCGAGATACCTTTCCTCCATAAAGGCCATCAACGACTCCATCATGACTGCCAGTGACCGGATCACCGTTTCTCCACCATTGAATAGTGGCTTCAGGGTTGCTGGTGGTTGACTCACAGGTAAGAAGGACCTTATCCCAAGAAACATGAATAATTAAAACCATTTTATCCCCATGTTTGAGTCCTTCTAAACGAAGCTTAACAAGTTGGGTTAGGTTATTATTTGTATTATTTGCGTTACAAAACATTCATAAATTGAATTTAGCTCCAAGTTAATACGGTTGAAATAGTAACGTCCTAACCGTAACATTAAAGAGGTAAAAAGACAAGTTTAGGATTTCTTAACTCAACCAATGATTAACTATAATCAAACATAATTGGCACTGTTACAATAAGATAAAGTAAAAAAAAAACTGCTTGATCAATTCGATTTTTTCTGTTTAATCAATAATCACCATAAAGTTAGCCATTAACGTAAAGTAAAAAATAGATAAAACAAAACTCACTACTTGACCAGATTTCGGATTTCGTGGCTCAGTTTTAATGTTCACGGATGAAGGTGGAACTGGAATACGATCGAAGACAGGAATAAATATTGGAAATGGCTTATTAATCACTTATATTGTATAGATTATTTAAACAAAGTTCTCGTGAACAAAGAAAGGTGAAAATGGCAGCAACTGGCTAGTCTTGGAGGAACAATCTGTAAAAGTAGCACAGATGGAAAAGGACGACGTTTCGAAAGACATCCATCTTTCGTCCTCAGGAACTCTTTTGAAACGTCGTCCTTTCTCATCTAAGCTACTTTTACAGATTAGTCTTCTTCACTTTCTCCACAATTGTCACGATGTACTAGGCAATTAGGGCTCATTTAATCGTTGTTTGTTTCGTCCTTACTTTTAACTAAGGTGTTGTTAAAATATGTGGATTCTCCACAATTATCATTATGTACTAGGCAATTAGGGCTCATTTAATCGTTGTTTGTTTCGTACTTACTTGTAGCTAAGGTGTTGTTAAAATATGTGGATTCTCCACAATTGTCACGATGTACTAGGCAATTAGGGCTCATTTAATCGTTGTTTGTTTCGTACTTACTTGTAGCTAAGGTGTTGTTAAAATATGTGGATTCTCCACAATTGTCACGATGTACTAGGCAATTAGGGCTCATTTAATCGTTGTTTGTTTCGTACTTACTTGTAGTTAAGGTGTTGTTAAAATATGTGGATTCTCCACAATTGTCACGAAGTACTAGGCAATTAAGGCTCATTTAATCGTTGTTTGTTTCGTCCTTACTTGTAACTAAGGTGTTTTTAAAATATGTGGATTCTCCACAATTATCATTATGTACTAGGCAGTTAGGGCTCATTTAATCGTTGTTTGTTTCGTCCTTACTTGTAACTAAGGTGTTGTTAAAATATGTGGATTTTCTACAATTGTCACGATGTACTAGGCAATTAGTGTTCATTTAATCGTTGTTTGTTTGGATTAAATGGATTTTCTTAGCTCTGATTTTATAAACTTAAGTAAAATTTATAGTAAAGTGAGTGATATAAGTATTTTTTATTACCTGACCAAGGAGTTAAATTATTCAAAATACTAAAAAAAGGAAAAAAAAAGAAAGACATGAAGTTGATTGATTATCCATGTTAGCCGCCAGAAGTGGTTTTGGCGTTCGGATAACTTTCATTATTGGACGAAGAGCCAGATTCAATGAACTGCAACGAACAAAAGTTTGAACACAAATATCCCATTACTCCTAGTAACTCAAGGCGTACATACTAATGAGATAGAACACCAAATCATCTGTATTCACAAACAAGCAAGTCTAGATTACGTATTCGATTGGTAAAATAAGTGTGATGTTTTGTGGAAGGTATTAGTAAGATTAGTAGATTTGACGAAATAAAAAAATTATGATTTAGTCGATTTGAAGTTTGACTGATATGAATTAAGTTTTTCTTCCAGTATAGAATAGGTAATTCAGAAATTTCCAAAGGAGGTATGTTGAGTAAAGAAAAATACACGTGTTTGATAAAGTACGAAAAACAACAAGAAAAGAACACTACGAATACAATACCAAAAACATTCTGTTACATAATGCTAAATTAAACAGTTGTGCTTAACATTATAAAGTTATTCTGAATTTAATGAACATAGCTTATTGTTTAGCATATCGGATTTAAGGCACGAGATTCTCTGTTTCTAGATGTGGTTTTATACCCGCTTCGCACTTTCAGCTAAGGGTGCGTTATAACAGTGAGAGACAATCCCATTATTCGGTTAGGAATAACCACTTCAAGTAGGTTATCTTCCCTTTAGTCCTCTGTTCAAAATTACGGACAGATATATCTGAATCATAACGGTCTATTATCTGGCTGTTTATCTTATTGTGTGGATTAGGTGTCATTCAGATGATAAAACATACAAAACAACGGATTTTCTGACTAGAATAGCAGACTAATTTATTTAGTGTTTACCACGAAAAGGGTAAAATATCAGCTTTTATAGACCCTAATTTATTTACCTTTTTACCACGAAAAGGATAAAATAGCAGACTCTAATTTATTTAGTTTTTAGCACGAAAAAGGTAAAATAGCAGACTCTAATTTATTTAGTTTTTAGCACGAAAAAGGTAAATAGCAGACTCTAATTTATTTAGTTTTTACCACGAAAAGGGTAAAATAGCAGACTCTAACTTATTTAGTTTTTACCACGAAAAGGGTAAAATAGCAGACTCTAACTTATTTAGTTTTTACCACGAAAAGGGTAAAATAGTAGACTCTAATTTATTTAGTTTTTAGCACGAAAAGGGTAAAATAGCAGACTCTAATTTATTTAGTTTTTAGCACGAAAAGGGTAAAATAGCAGACTCTAATTTATTTAGTTTTTAGCACGAAAAAGGTAAAATAGCAGACTCTAATTTATTTAGTTTTTACCAGAAAAGGGTAAAATAGCAGCTTTTATAGACTCTAATTTATTTAGTTTTACCACGAAAAGGGTAAAATAGCAGCTTTTATAGACCCTAATTTATTTACCTTTTTACCACGAAAAGGGTAAAATAGAAGCTTTTATAGAATCTAATTTATTTAACTTTTTACCACGAAAAAGTAAAATAGCAGCTTTTTAGACTGTAATTCACTTAACATCTTTCCACAAAAAACAAAAACAAAACTGGACTTTAAATTTACACCAACAAATTAAGTTGACAGCTTTTCTATGCTCAACTTTTTATGACTTCACTGTTAACCGAGAAGCATGTGAGAAGTGAATTATGAAATTCAATACACAGCCAAACTTTCCTTTAGAGCTTAGACATTCGAATTATACAAAGCATTTTTATGTTCTTTGTCCGTACATTTCCACATCAATGCTGTTTTCGTTTGGATCGATATTGCTTTTTTTTTATCCCTTTAAACAAACTAGACTCATTACCGTCTTAAGAAACATTTACTGCTTATTTGTACAATATATTAGACTGCTTAGAACGCTTGATCACAGAATATGGATCTCGTCGCTTTCGGTGTTTTTCCGAGAGGTTTCTCATGAACCAAAGTAATGTATATTATTGATTTATAGACTGAGTACTGTGTAATCAAATAGAAATAGAATACCTAAAACACTACGTACACATACACGATTTTACGTTAACTTTGAATTATAGATATTAACGGATTGTTATTAATTACGCCCAACCATGAAATAGGTAAAATAATAATTGATTTTTGTTTTCAAATAAAAATTTAATATTATTAAAATTATAATTCATTATGACTGAAATAATAACACAGAATGATTAAAACAGCAATTCATCGTGACTAAGATAATAATAACAATATATAATTATTAAAATAACAATTCGCAGTTATTATGGTTAAAATTATAATTCATCATGATAAAATAATAATTTATCGTGGTTACGAGGAAAATTCAGTCTGATTAAAATAACAATTTACCATGGTTAAAATAATAAAAATATATCATGGTTAAAATAACAATTTACAATCACTATGGCTAAGATAATAAAAAATATATCATGGTTAAAATAACAATTCACAATCACCATGGTTAAAATAATAAAAATATATCATGGTTAAAGTAGTTCACCATGGCTAAGATAATAAAAATATATCATGGTTAAAATAACAATTCACAATCACCATGGTTAAAATAATAAAAATATATCATGGTCAAAATAACAATTCACAATCACCATGGTTAAGACAATAAAAATATATCATGTTTAAAATAACAATTCACAATCATCATGGTTAAAATAACAATTCACAATCACCATGGTTAAAATAATAAAATATATCATGGTTAAAATAACAATTCACAATCAACATGGTTAAAATAATAAAAATATATCATTTTTAAAATAACAATTCACAATCACCATGGTTGAAATATATAAAATATACCATGGCTAAAATAACAATTCACAATCACCATGGTTAAAATAACAATTCACAATCACCATGGTTAAAATAACAATTCACAATCACCGTGGTTAAAATGACAATTCACAATCACCGTGGTTAAAATAACAATTCACAATCACCATGGTTAAAATAACAATTCACAATCACCATGGTTAAAATAACAATTCACAATCACCGTGGTTAAAATGACAATTCACAATCACTATGGTTAAAATAACAATTCACAATCATCGTGGTTAAAATGACAATTCACAATCACCATGGTTAAAATAATAATTCATCATGATTAAAATGAAAATTAATCGTGGTTCGATAAAAATTCAGCTTCATTGAAATAATAATTCATCGTGGTTAAGAAAATTGTAATATTTAATAGTTAAAATTACAATTCATCTTGATTAAAAAAAAACTCATAATTCATCGTGATCAAACTAATTCATAACAGTTAAATTGATTCGTAATATTTAATCGTACACATTAAGTAGCCAATGTATTTTAAATAGTTTAGTAATAATTATGTAATAAATTAATAGTTTATACTTTCTATTATCCTAATAACTTCATACAGTAACTTACACAGAACCGTCGGCGTCACAGACGCAACCATAGGTCTCAAGGTTGCTGGGTTCGAGGCTTCGCATCGATACACAGCACCGTTGTCACTTGCATCTGCTCGGATAACCAGAGTGCTAGAGATCCCTTTTTGTAAGGGTTGAGGAGTTCCACTAAGCTAATAAAGGAAAACATATTTGAAAACTCAAACGAATTTACCCAACTGTCAACCGACTGTGATTGATTTATTTCGATATCATTTGAGTCCATATAATCACTAGGAAGTTTCAAAAATAGGAAGCACTTCACTGATTACTAAGAAACAAACTTATTAGTGGTGTGTTATATTCATAAATCTTTATTGATTACATGACAAAATCAACTCATTGATAAAGAATATCAAACCATTGAAATTTAACTCAACCAAAGCAACTAAGGATAATTTAAATTAATGTGATATATTTCATGTTTGTTAATTAATCAATTATAAAATTTTTAGTTTCCAGAATGAATTTGCTATACAACTGCACATTTCGTGTAAAAATTCGCTCGTAATCACAGTAGCTCCGATTAAGAAAACCACGTGTTTCATTTAGGTATACAGAGAATAGAGTAAATCAAAACCAAACTCTACTGGTTATATATTCAAGAAAAACTACCTCTGTATTTCCTTTAAACCATCGAAGGATTGCTAAGGGATTTCCTCCCAAAGATACACAGGTGAGCCTCTGGAAGTCTCCAGCTCTGATTGGTTTGTCCTGAAAGTCTTGTATTGATGGCGGACCTGGCGGATCTGTGGGCAACAATAAAACAAGTAATGGAAACTGTACAAGTTAAGCACTCTTGTAGATTGGAGTTCTTCGTTTACATACAAACCTCCCCATGTGTTGAAAGAAAAACTTTACTAAAGATTTGAGGCCCGGCATGGCCAGGTGGTTAGGGCGCTCGACTTGCAATCTGAGGGTCGCGGGTTAGAATCCCCGTCACACCAAAACATGCTCACCCTTTCAGCCGTGGGGCGTTATAATGTGACGGTCAATCCCACTATTCGTTGGTAAAAGAGTAGCCCAAGAGTTGGCGGTGGGCGGTGATGACTAGCTGCCTTCCCTCTAGTCTTACACTGCTACATTAGGGACGGCTAGCGCAGATAGCCCTCGTTGTAGCTTTGCGCGAAATTCAAAAACCAAACAAACAAAGAAACTAAAGATTTGATATTCGGATTTCCTTCTTTCTTTGTAAGGAAGCACTTAGAGGTGGTGGTTCACCACATCAACCAAGACATTTTAAAACATTGAACAACTATTCTATTCCGTCTGTACGTCGGTGAGGTAAAGTTTTACAACCTGAGAGATTTCTAAACATCTACTTAATTAACTGCAAAATTTTACATTATCTGCTTTCATGAATATAGTGCGTTACTTACTGTCTCTCATTGTGATTCATTAGTAAGCCTGAGGGCTTATAACACCAAAAATAGGGTTTAGATACCCGCATTGAACAACGCAAAGGTAGCATTGTGTAAATTTGTGCTTAAGAGCAAACAATAAATAAAATCGTCACGTATTTTAACTGCATATATTTGAGATGAGTAAAGTTAAGAGAGTGTAATATAATGAATAAATAACAAATATAAAACAATTATCGTGAATTTAAAGTATCAATATTTGTGAAAATGATACCCGCTTTTAAAAAAAATATTTCATATTAAACAGAACTAACTGTCTTTAAGCATCCACATTATTATCCGACTTCGGAGGTGAAGCAGCAAAACTTCTCCAAATTTGTTCAACACTATCATGAAACAACTTGTTGTTCAAAGTTGGATTTGTCTTTTTTTGTCCAATACACGAGATAACACATCCCTTTACTCTTGTTTAATATAATTTACAATTTGTATGAAGAACTAACTTCATGGAAGTTTGCTTCATATCCTATGTTCATGTCCTATGTTCTGCGTTCATGAACCATCTTTTATAATACTGCTGTTTATTCCGTTTTTATTTACCTGAAAACTGTTAAACTTTTTCCATTAATTTTCATGAGCCAAGGTAGGTGGATGGAGTCCATTAAAACTAAAAATAGGTAGATGAAATCCGTTAAAATGAAATCAGGTGGAGGAAATCCCTTAACATGAAATCAGGTGGATGAAATCCCTTAAAATGAAATCAGGTGGATGAAATCCCTTAAAATGAAATCAGGTGCTGAAATCCGTTAAAACGAAATCAGGTGGATGAAATCTGTTAAAATGAAATTAGGCGGACGAAGTCCGTTAAAACCATAATAGGTTCGTTAAGATGAAATAAAATGAATGAAGTCCAACAAAAATAAATCAAGTGGATGAAGTCCGATGAAACGAAGTTAGGTGGACGAAGTCCATTAAAACCTTAATAGGTTCGTTAAGAATAAAAAAAAAAGTCGATCAAGTCCAATAAAACGAGATTAGGTAGACGAAGTCCGTTAAAAAATTGGATGAATTTCTGAAATCCTAAAAACAAATTTCTGGCACTAGTTAAAAGATAGACTTTTCCATGATAACATATTTGCAGTATAGCTGGACACACTGAAATGTGAGAGTTTTACGCTCAAAGACAGAAGGTTTTGGGCTCGTGCCATCATTTTATGGGCTTGGACGTCAAGTATCCAAGATAACACTTGTACCAAAGCCTGGCTTTTGTTCTTTTATAATGTTTAAGTTACGTGACTTGCTTTATTACTTAACTCCACTGATACATTGCTTGTTTAAAAGCTTATATCCGGTTTAGTCTGGTACTTTGGTTCGTTGATTTGTAGTCAGAAATTATCAGTTACGTGTTCGTTCTAAATTACACGGTTTTTATTTGCCCTTACTCGTTTTTATCTAATCATTACTTTTAATTAGTACTGCTAACTGAAACATGAAATTATTTCATATACTATAATATCCAAGTTATTATATTCGTAGTGGTTTCCACTTAAAGTTTTCGACGTTAAAGAGTAGTAATTAAAATAATTACTATTAAAAATTACGAATTAAAAATGTTGAGTTACTGCCTGCTTTACACTGATTTTCAGTTTCTATTTCCACCTGATTTCGTTTTAACGGATTTCATCCACCTTATTTCGTGTCTAAAGTTAGATATGTATACACTATTCTTCGATTTCGTAATATAGCGCATTGTAATCACTCATTTGAAACAAACTCAATCATTTCAGGCAATAGATTTGACTCGTGCTATGTTGTTGTTCTTTGATGTTAAGCACAAAGCTATACAACGGGCTATCTGCCCACCACGGGTATCATCACATCTAAGCTTTCTTAACATGGGTATTTGAAAAATATACCACTTAATTCAGTTTTAGTATTCATGTTATATAATGTCGAAATACTATATTTTTGTACATAAAATTTTGCGTTTCGGTTTAAAACAAAACAACCAAACAATATCATACAAGTACACTGCAGCTCACCACTGTAAGAGACCTAGTCTTGTAACCAAACAATATCATACAAGTACACTGCAGCTCACCACTGTAAGAGACCTAGTCTTGTGCTTTTAGTTTATTCATATTACTGTTAAAATTAAAGTTACCATTCGTCGAAGTACATATATTGGCAAATAAAAATTAATTAATAGTTTAATCATTTTGTTTAATTCGTCATACGTGTTAGATTAAACCTTAAACCAAAAAGTTGTTTCGGGATTCAAAATTCTCCCCATTATATTCATATTAGATTTCCTTTATAATCAAATGTTATAAGCCTTAAAGATTACCACTGAGGGTACAGTGGTATGTCTGCAGACTTATACTGCTATAAACCGGGTTTCAATACCCGTTGTGCTTAATAAGAAAAAACAACAGCAATTAGAAGTAATATTTTTCAAGAAGTTAACTCACATTATTTTCTAATCCTTTCAGTGACAGCTAGGAAATACGTTTATTAAGAAACTAGGTAGTCAAGTGACTTAATTTAATCATTTCCTTTCCAAAGGTTATATTTTTGGGGGGTTAAAATTATTGGTCAGTTATAGCAACTAAAACGCATGTATGTTTCAGTCAATCCTAAGCGGTATAAGCCTAAACGTAGCACAATTATTCCCCATTTCTCAATTATCGTAAATATCTTTAATGCTAAATAATTCCACTTGAATTATTCCGTAACAGATAGTATTCCGTGAAGGTGGAAAGTGAAAGATGCGTGGTATTATCAATATAATTAGAGTGCATTAGCCTTAGTTAACTAAAACATACCGAAAATTATTAAACTGTGTGTAATTATGAATACTTACAAATTATGCTCAGAGAAGACGTTTGAGAAACGCTGTCTGCTAAAGCTTCATTTAGTGCAAAACAGGAGAACGATATCTCTTTGGGATCCTGAAAATAACAATAGTAGGTAAGGAGAAGATGGTGTTTAAGTTATTGGCAGATAATAGTTAGTTAATAGGGTTCAGAACACAACAAAATAAAATGTGAGAGTCAGTTACTAAAATAATAAGTTTATTACGATATTTGGATGTAATACTACGTATAGGGAATGATTGAAAGTTTCTTATTAAATCTAACGTTTATGAAAAAACTGAAATATTAACATAGCTGATGTCGAAGCTTATAATATCGTTTGTTCAATGCCATAACTTTTAATGGGGGGTGATGGGGTAAGTAATTAAAAACCACTAAGTGGGATTATTTCAATTATTTCGTTTTGATTACGTAAATAACGGTATATGCGAATATTTTGATATATCTTACTCCGCTAGAGTTTAATTCATAAGAAAATATCGCTCTTGTTTATTGACTGTTCCTTTTCTATTACCAGAAAGCACTGAGATAATATTTCTTCAAGATTTATTAAATCAAGTGATATTCTTTTAATGCAATTCGCAATTATTATCTGTAAATACTTATGTAAGATATATAAAAAAATGTTGAATTCATCTTCATAAACAATTACAATTTTAACTGCTAATAAGATACTTTAAGTTACTGAGTTTAGGAATATTGTGAAGTTGTGATGTAACTGGTAATTTTAAATTATTGAATTTGAGATTAATCTAAAGCTGAGATATAATTGATAATTTTTAGTTACTTAATTATAGATTAGTCTGAAGGTGAGATGTACATTTGTCACTTCAAAATATTGAATTTAAGATCTGTGGTTGGTCATTTTGAATTATCTAATTTGAGATTAGTCTGAAATTGAGATGTAACTGGTCATTTTGAATTATCTAATTTGAGATTAGTCTGAAATTGAGATGTAACTGGTCATTTTAAATTATCTAATTTGAGATGTAACTGGTCATTTTGAATTATCTAATTTGAGATGTAACTGGTCATTTTGAATTATCTAATTTGAGATGTAACTGGTCATTTTGAATTATCTAGTTTGAGATTAGTCTGAAATTGAGATGTACATTTGTGATTTTATATTATTGGATTTAAAATTTATAATAGGTTATTCTAAATTTCTGAATTTGAGATTAGTTTCACGTTCAGATGCAATTGGGAAATTCAAATTGCTAGCTTTGAAATCAGTCTTAACTTGAGATGTGATGAACCTTTCGTATGTTAGCAGTCTTCGTGTTTAGTTTCGTTTTTCAATCGACATTATGTTATGAAACACATATTCACTCTCACGAATTATAAACACAAGATAAAATATACACTCTCTTGTCAGAAAGATTTTTCGACCATGTCACAAGATTCATTCTTCTTATTTACCTGCCACGTTAAACCAATGGTTATCCTGGACGTGGTAATCCAGCCTCCTTCCAAACTTTCTGTATAAGATCCGGCAGAAGGCACAGGTCTGCCATCCACAACCCAAGATATCTTGGCAGCTGGATTGCTTGGTCCAGCTATGCAGTTGAGCGTAACGTTGTCACCTCTTTTACCTTCTGTAGGCCCTTTTATTGTCACTTGTGTAGGTGGAACTGGAGAGAGAACATTAAGTTAATGTGTGTAGTGAAACTGGAGAGAACATTAAGTTAATGTAATGTTAAATAGTGATTTAAAAAAACGGTAAATGAACTTCAACGAGGTCTAGTTAAGTGAAGAGTTGAGACTACGGTACATTGGTATGAAAATATTAGTTATCGTTTTCCATGTGAGTTTCTTTAGGTAGATTAAACTGTATTTTCACATATGTACCCACAATTTAAATTTATTTGTAAGCAATACCTAAATTTTATTTCGGATTTTGAAGATTTCACGGGAGAAAAAATCGTTAATGATATGCAAAAATAACTCTACTTGTTTTCCTTCAGTTAATTAAATAGCTTAGATATTGCTACTTCAAAATGTAACATGATTCACATGTTACGGAATTTCTAACTTTTCTGGAATGATCTAACTAAATAAAAATATTTTATTTCAACAACGAGGTTATGTCCTATAAAAACATAATAGAGGTTTTAACTAAGACTATCAACAAATTAGGACATTTTCCGTCATTGCCTAAAGCATTTGTCAGTATTCTCAGCAGTATCGTTTTATAGGGATTTAAGGACTCACAGTAGACTTTTAATCTGACAGTGGCGGCCATTGGCTTTAATGTGACAGTGTTTGATGCCTCGCAGCGATACTCGGCGTTGTTGTCTGATGCGTCGACGTGAAACGTGTATGGATTGGTCGTTTCTCTGCCAGACACGGAGAAGCTTGAGTCAACTTGAGCTTCATTTCGGAACCAGAGTAATTTGGATGGGGGATTCCCCCCTCGAGAAATGCAAGCCAGCGTTAATGTATCACCCACTTGAACGATATCGTCTTCTTGGTAACCTTCGATTTTCGGTGGTTCAGGAGGGTCTGAAAAATGGGGAACATGATGTTAATTTAAAAAGCAAACGTAAATATATTTTGAGTTGATTATAGTCGACACTTTTAAAAATCAAAACAATACAAACAAATACATTTATTTCATTAGGAGGTTATATTACATGCATGTATACATTTGTCTTATAACTGGTTTGCTGACATATCTATATATTGAACTTAGCAGAAGAAGATTTACATCTGACTCGAATTAACAGTATATAACCTACACAAAGTTGTATTATGAAGTCTAGGTAACCATACACTTCATTTGAATCAGGATAAGAGACGATTCGCTTCACCACCTATCCCAATAATAAAAGAAGTATTAACTTTTAATATGACTGGCGGTGTTGTTCTGTATTAAACTCAATGTTATGATTCGCTTCACCATCTACCCTAATAATAAAAAAGTATTAACTTTTGATATGACTGGCGGTATTGTTCTGTATTAACTTTTGATATGACTGGCGGCATTGTTCGGTATTAAACTCAATCTTATGATTCGCTTAACCATCTACCCTAATAATAAAAGAAGTATTAACTTTTGATATGACTGGCGGTATTGTTCGGTATTAAACTCAATGTTATGATTCGCTTCACCATCTACCCTGATAATAAAAGAAGTATTAACTTTTGATATGACTGGCGGTATTGTTCGGTATTAAACTCAATGTTATGATTCGCTTCACCATCTACCCTGATAATAAAAGAAGTATTAACTTTTGATATGACTGGCGGTATTGTTCGGTATTAAACTCAATGTTAT